AGATTACACAAATTTAATTAATTTAATTTTAACAATAGAAACAAACACACAATAAAAATTTGATTTTGGAAAAATAACTAAAAATCTACAAAATGTACTCTATAAGAATTAAGTGCATAATTTGATAATTCTATCATAAGGAATAATTGAATATGCTTGAATTAAAAATTTAGCATAAAGGCATGATTTACATTAGTAAAATATGCAATCTATTTATGAAGCCTCAATTTTAACATAAGCATTTTAATATTAGCAACTTCACAATCTATTAATTTCTCTCATATTCATTGTGATGTCCTCGAATTAAAGGGTGACAACTATAAAACATGGAAGAAAAAAATTCTTCTCCATTTTGAGTGGATGGATATTGACTATGCTATTAGGAAATATGAATAACCTGAAATCACTAATACCAGCACTCCAACGACATCGCGCTTTGCAAAAAATGGAAGCGGTCTAATTGTCTCAATATGATGTTCATAAAGACTAAAACTTTTGTGGGTACATGTAATACCATCAATTAGCACGACAAGGTCTAGGGCTTGATAAAGGCCATTGATGATCAAATTGTCACTTTGGATAAGGCATTAGTAAACACTCTTATAATAAAGTTCTCATTCTTAAAGTTTACCAGTATGAAAGACATGTGTGACCACATCATGCGAATGAGAGATATTATGGCTCAACTTAAGAAACTTGAGATTGATATGTCCGAATCCTTCATTGTGCACTACATTTTGAACACTCTCCCACAACAGTACGAACCTTTCAAAATCTCATACAACACACATAAAGATAAATGGTTGATGAATGAATTAATGATTGTGTGTTCAAGTGGGATGGAGACTGTAATGGAACAAGATGAAAGTGTAATGTTGATTACCCATGGAAAGGTGAAGGCTCAAGCCAATCAGAAGGAAAAAAGTAAAATACCAACTCAAACTAATATTAAGAAATAAGCCAAGTGTTACTTCTGTAAAAAGTATGGACGAATGAAGAAAAATTGTGTCAAATTCAAGAAATAGCTCGATGATAAAGGTAATTCAATATCGTTTGTCTGTTATGAATCTAACATGGTTAATGTAAATATTAACACTTGGTGGATTGACTATGTATCTACAATTCATATTGCAAACTCCTTGCAAGGTATGCAATATTTAAAGAAGCCAGTGGGAAGTGAGCAATATATCTTATCCAAAAACAAGATAGGCTCACATTTGTAGGTTATAAGAACATATGTCTTAACTTTTAAGTAGTGGCTTTGTTTTGAAATTAGATATGACCATTTCAAACTTGATTTCTATTTCCAAACTTGTACCATTGAGATATTCCTTTAATTTTTCAAACACGTCATTTAGTTTATTATATAATTCTGATTGTGTTGGGATAATAGATGGTCTTTATCGTATTAATCTACAAAACACCGTCACTTATGATTCAATACATGTTCACACTGGCACTAAACAATGTAACATTAACCAAAACTCTTCTATGTTGAGGCATCAGAGATTATGACATATCTCTATAGAAAGAATTAGAAGATTGGTAAATGATGGAGAACTTAGTACTCTAAATTTCACTGATTTTGAGACATGTGTAGACTGCATTAAAAGAAAGCGGACCAACAATTTCAAGAAAGGTGCCAACAAGAATTCGTATATATTAGAAATCATACATACTTATATATACATTCAGTATAGACTTACATGGTCAAAAATATTTCATCACCTTTATTGATGATTACTCACGATATATGTACCTCTACTTGCTTCACAATAAGAATGAAGTATTGGACATCTCTAAAACCTTTAAAGATGAAGTAAAGAAATAATAGGAGAAGCAGATTGAGATCGTAAGATCGGATAAAAGTGGAGAATATTACGGTAAATACACAGAGGATGGACAAGCACTCGGGGCCATTCCCTAAATTTTTTCAAAAACATGGGATAGTTGCCTAATACGCTATGCCTAGTTCACCGAACTAGAATGATGTGGCAAAAAAATAAATCGAACATTATTAGACATGGTGTGAAGAATGTTTAGTAGCTCCAATCTTCTTAAGTCCTTGTGGATTGAAGCACTTAAGATGGCAGTGTATATATTAAGAGTTTTAACCATGGTTGTCTCAAAGACCCCATTTGAATTATTGAAATCTCGAAAACCAAGTTTGCAACATGTGTGTTTGGGAATGCTCGTCTAAAGTGAGAATCTATAATTAACAAGAGAAGAAGCTGGACCCAAGAACCATAAGTGGTTATTTCATTGGCTATGCTGAAAGGTTTAAAGGGTACAGATTTTACAGTCTATCTCACTTAACTAGGATTGTAGAATCAAAAAACGCTAAGTTTATTTAGAATGACTTGATAAATGGGAGTGATAAAACCAAGAACAAAGTTCCTTAGCATGATTATTCGGAATTTTCTACCTCAAGTGACAGATTGGTTATACAGAACCCCTCAAGTACAAACAGGTGCTGAACAACCAATCATTGAAATTCCACAAATTGTTGACAACGTTCAAGTAGATTAGGTAGTTCGGGAATTATTAAAACCTCCTAAACAAATAATTGAACGACAAGCTTCTTAGGAAGATGATGGTACAACATTAAGAAGATTTACTAGAACAAAAAGGTCAACAATTCCTAGTGATTATGAAGTGTACCTACAAGAACCTGATTATAGTATTAGAGCCAAAAATGATCCCGAGTTATAAGAAGTCAGATTATTGTACAATGCCATGAAGGACGAGTTAATCCCATGAAGAGTAACGGAGTCTGTGATCTTGTTGAGTTGCCTATGACGTAAAAGCTATTAGCTATAAATGCGTTTTTAAGGCAAAGAAAGGCTTGTCAGGCAACATTAAGAGATACAAGATGAGCCTTATTGCTATCGGATTCATTCAAAGGGAGAGAATCGATTACACGAAGACCTTCTCTTTGGTATTTAAGAAAGATTCCCTAGGCATTATTTTGGTATTAGTAGCCCATTTTGACCTTCAATTGCAACAAATGGATGCGTTTTTAGGGCAAAGAAAGACTTGTTAGGCAACATTGAGAGATACAAGGCGAGATTTGTCGCTATGGGATTAATTCAAACGGAGGGAATCGATTACACAAAGACCTTCTCTTCAGTATTTAAGAAAGATTCCCTAAGCATTATTTTGGCATTAGTCACCTATGTTAACCTTGAGTTGCAACAAATGGATATAAAAACGGCATTTCTCAATGGAAATTTAGAGGATGAGGTTTATATGAAACAACCTAAAGGATTTCCCTATAATGATGGTGAATACGTGGTCTGTAAGCTTAAGAAGTCTATATACGATTTAAAATAAGCGCTCCATCAATGGTATTTTAAATTTGATGGAGTAATTTTTTCATTCAAATTTGTTGAAAATCACATGGATCAATGTATAGTCGAGAAGGTTAGTGGTGTAGGATTTGTTTTCTTATTTTATACATAGATGACATTTTACTTGCAACTAATGATAAGGGTTTGTTGTATAAGGGTAAAATAATTCCTCTCTAAATATTTTAATATGAAGGATATGGGTGAGACACCTTATGTCATTAGCATTACGATCCACAGAAACGGATTACGAGGTATTTTGGATCTATCTCAGAAAACTTATATCAATAAAATTTTAGAAAGATTTGGGATGAAGGTTTGTTCATTAACTGTAGCTTCCATTATGAAAGATGATAGGTTCAATTTGAACAAATTGAGCCAATGCCCTAAAAATAATATAGAAAGGGAACCAATAAAGAACATTCCACATGCCTCAGCTATCGGAAGTCTAATGAATGTGCATGTTTGTACAAGGCTTGACATTGCATTTGTTATAAGAATGTTACGACGATATCAAAGTAATCCAAGTATGGTCCACTAGAGAGCAGCAATGGAAATAATGAGGTACCTTTAAGGATCCAAAAATTACATGCTTATGTACGAACGGACAGATAATCTAGAAGTGACTGGATAATCGGATTTAGACTTTGCTACTTATGTTGAATCGTGCAAATCAACGTGAAGGTATGTTTTATGATGGCCAGTGGAGTTGTATCATTGAGGAATGCTAAGCAGACCTTAACTACTACTTCCACCATGGAAGTAGAGTTTTTTATTGTTTTGAGACTACTTTATATGGTGTATGAATTAAAAGTTTCATATCTGGATTTAGAATTATGAATTCTATTTCTAAGCCATTGAGAATTTACTACAACAATTCAATTGTTGTCTTTACAGTTAAAAACATGAAAAGTGATCATCAAAGTAAACACATCAACATTAAGTATTTAACCATAAGGGAAGTGTTAAAGAAAAAGTGGTCGAGCATTTAAAAATTGAATTGAAGATCGTTGATCCTTTGACTAAAGGGTTACGGCCATTGAAATTCAAGAATCATGTAAAGAAAATGGAACATAATTCCACCATGTAATGGTGCATACAGAGGGGTTTGATCCCTAAGCTTCACAGTGTTGGAGAGCTTAGAAATGCTAGTAATTGGAACAAAATGAGATCTTTCACAGTATCATCAATGGCCGGAGGCATTCACCCAATCCATGGGTTTTCGATTTTCTCGATCCAAGTGGTTTCCGCTTAATTATTTTGGATCGATTTCAATCTAACAAGCTTATGGTAGTGCAGAGTATGAAGATAGGATGACATGTAACTGATAAAATGAAAAGGTATGAACTAAATAGAATACTCATGGGTCATCAAATCATTGACGGATCCATGTGGTACCAAATTTGCAATTTCGAAAAGTCCATTTTGGTTTAGTTTTAGAAATTTGGCCCTTTTTACTTAGCAGTTCTAATTCTGTACATTCTCAATTTAATCTATGCATGTTTCTATTTAGGGTTACTTTTCTAAGCCAGATACTGTAAATGTGGATTCTTATTAATAATTAAAATAAATCAGGATGCAAATTTAGGATGGAGACAGAGTCAAACCTTTAGTCCTTTAACATCACCTCTACGATTGTATTATGGAACTGACTTGGACGGTTCAATTCGGTACTGCTTTTAAATTTTTCAGAATGATAATTTCTTTCCAACAACAGTTATACATTACAACGATGTAGTAACAAAGATTATACAGTTTGGCTAACCTAAAACTCATGTTTCTTCCTCTTACACTTGTTGCTCCCCAAACTATTATTGTCAATGAATGAACGAGACAAACAATAAATGGACTCAGTTTTACATTGGTTCTGTGAAGGGCGGAAGCATAGAGAAGGAAAAGAAAGATATATGAACAATAGAAAAGGGGGAAAGAATATTTCTGTATTACTTCCAGAAGGAACTCCAGTGATGATTTAGGCATTACCTAGCAAACGAGGGAAACCACCAAGTCAAAATTATGAATCATTTGCCTTTTCAACCTTCTGCTCTGCTTGATTATCGTTGCTCTCTTCCTGCTGTGTGCTTGGACTCTGTCCCTCCCTCGAAGATTTTTCTTCAGGTTGGGTGCTTAAAATCTGTCCGTCATTCAAAGATTTGCTGCTGTTTGCTTCCTCGACAGCATTGGGCTTCCCCTGTTGAATTAGAATTTTCCCCTCAACATTGTTAGTTCAGTGCACAAGTCGAAGTCATTTTCTTAAGTACTTTACATACCATAAAAGCATAAAGAAATAACAGAAGAAACAGTGTCTTCTACAGATATCACATTACATCAGCGATAATGGAGTTCTATAGATGCTATACCATTCGTCCAGAATACTGTGTCCACCAAAATGCATGTAACAATGACAGAATGGTTTGTGCTCGAGCAATGAAGAGAAGAACGCATATGACATGCACAAGTTCAAAAACATCATAATTGTACGGAAATTGCAGGAAGCAAAATTACAAACCACCAAGAAACGAAAAAAAAGCACAAAGATTAGTCATTTGTACCACCAAAACCTGGATTAAGGTGTATCAGACAAGAAAGGAATTGCATGATGCATAACGTCACTATGAAAATATGTATTCATCGAGAGAGCCATTGCGCATCTAGATAATATAAGTATCATAAATCAGGTTACCAATTAGTAATTTTACCAGTTGACTGCACAGACTAATATCAGCAACATTGTTGCTTCCCAAACTATTATTGTCAATGAATGTACGAGACAAACAATAAATGGACTCAGTTTTACATTGGTTCTGTGAGGGGCGGAAGCATAGAGAAGGAAAAGAAAGATATATGAACAATAGAAAAGGGGGAAAGAATATTTCTATATTGCTTCCAGAAGGAACTCCAGTGATGATTTAGGCATTACCTAGCAAACGAGGGAAACCACCAAGTCAAAATTATGAATCATTTGCCTTTTCAACCTTCTGCTCTGCTTGATTATCGTTGCTCTCTTCCAGCTGTGTGCTTGAACTCTGTCCCTCCCTCGAAGATTTTTCTTCAGGTTGGGTGCTTAAAATCTGTCCCTCGTTCAAAGCTTTACTGCTGTTTGCTTCCTCGACAGCGTTGGGCTTCCCCTGTTGAATTAGAATTCTCCCCTCAACATTGTTAGTACAGTGCAAGTTGTTTTCTTAAGTACTTCACATACCATAAAAGCATAAAGAAATAACAGAAGAAACAGTGTCTTCTACAGATATCACATTACATCAGCGATAATGGAGTTCTATAGATGCTATACCATTCGTCCAGAATACTGTGTCCACCAAAATGAATGTAACAATGACAGAATGGTTTGTGCTTGAGCAATGCAGAGAAGAACGCAAATGACATGCACAAGTTCGAAAACATCATAATTGTACGGAAATTGCAGGAAGCAAAATTACAAACCACCAAGAAACGAAAAAAAAGCACGAAGATTAGTCATTTGTACCACCGAAACCTGGATTAAGGTGTATCAGACAAGAAAGGAATTGCATGATGCATAACGTCACTATGAAAATATGTATTCATCGAGAGAGCCATTGTGCATCTAGATAATATAAGTATCATAAATCAGGTTACCAATTAGTAATTTTACCAGTTGACTGCACAGACTAATATCAGCAACAAAATGGTAAATCGACAGACGAAAAACAAAATAGAGTGAGTCACTTGATACTCACAGGAATACCAAAACTGTGGAACATAATGAGTCTTAACATGAATAGGGGAGTTTCTTGACTGACCTTGTTCCTGTCACGCCATCCTAGCCCAAATGGTCTAGGTAGCAAACTAATCTTCCTTAATGACGTGTCCTGTGAATCATGACTACTTCGAACTGGAGAAGAATCTTGCTGTGTTGATCTGCCATGACCACTCATACTCAGTATTATTACAAACAGGAAGCATGGAATGCTAATTTTCAAAATAGTTGCAAGGACTATCAATAGTCACCAAAAGAATGGAACAGTAGCATGCAAGTAAGATATCACCTAGGAAATAGAAATCTAAAAAATTACTGTATACCGTGGGGATGGTTGTCCTTTGTTTTGCCCAGACTGGGACTGCAAGGTAGCCTCCAACATAGATTCTGCCATGACCACCCTCTTTTCCATCTCAGCCAGGGCAGTAGTAGCTTCTTCATATTTCTCCTGTGCGTGGTGACCGCAGCAACATACAAGAGTTTAATTGTCAGAATCTCCAATGTAAAATTTTTGAAGTGTGCATCACAAGAAGAAAACTGCCCAGCCGATTGACCACATAAAGCACCGATTCACTAAATTATCGGTTCAATCAGTAGGCTACTAGTCAAACTATGAATCTAAATAAATCATACTTAACAAAAAATTGATGCATAAATATAATCACAAGTAATGCAATGCATAAAATATTATAGTAATAGGAGGATGCGTATGCTCTATCTATTCTGTTTTCATAAATCAAATCGAAGATATATTTCGAGTTATTTCTACCTTTCATGCTTCCCTATTAGTTTCCATTGACATCTACATTACTAAACCTTTTATCATTGGTGACCCATTCACCTACATGTGCAAATTCTTAAATAGAACACCAGCGCTTAACATGACGAAGAAAAACAAAAAAAAAACTACTCATCCACGAAAAATAGGAATAAAAAGATATCACCATATAGTAGAGAGCCCAGATCGTACTTTTCTATCATTATTAGTCATGGCATGCGGACAAGTTGAATTCACTGACTGACTTGTTTTTTGTTTGAGTTTTATTTTCTATTTCTTGCGAAAAATCATCCCTTCGGTTTTACAGTGGACCAAACCAGATACGTAGTGTGATCAATTCAGTTCTCCTATTTCACAGATAGTAACAGACCAATTCTGCACGAAAGTAATTGATTTTTCTCTTACCAGTTCAATTAGGTTCTCGCCAAATCAATACCGAACCGAATTGTTCCAACCCCTAACTACAACCGAGTCATCAGAACACGCACCGGACATACATGAGTTTGGAAATGATCATTCAGCATTCTTCTGGTGATCTAGGGAGAAGAAAATGGACGGTTTTCTGAAAATATTATTTTTTGTAGGATTTTCTCTCCTCTTCTTTTCCTTGTCATGGTATATAAGAGTATTAGAAAAAATTATAGAGCCAAAGAAACTTCTTCGTTAATAACTCATATTTATTGCCTCGTCTATATAACCAATCCTTGCTTTACCTGTCCTTTCCTAGAAGGAAATTTTCTGGAACTATACTAGAGTCGTCTTCTAATTTATTTTTCCTGAACAAGGTATAAAACCTAATACATTTACATAGAGTGATCTGCATATTAAGAGTAAATCTAAGCATGTACGTAGCAAAAAAAAAAAACACTTCTAAAATTTAATAGTGAGGGAATTAAAAAATTCACACAGCAGAACGCATAATCTAATAGGATTTAGCATGCAAATATCTCACAGGAGAAAGAAACCTGAAGCACTTGAACAGCATATCTTTGAGCAGCAGCATCTTTCTCAGCAAATCTGCGAGCATCCTCTGTCACCCTCTGTTCTTGTTCGACCCTCATCAAAATCTGTGAACGAAATAAAAGATGCATGCCATGATTAACAAAGGAATAACAGGAGACAATCATGAGTGACATCATCGAATATATAGCACAATGCTACCTGAAGCATGGCATTTTCTTGTTCCTGCTTATCAGCAAGGGTTCGTTGTAGCTTTGTGACCTCTCGCTCTAATTGCTCAACCTAAATTTAAAAGCAGAAAATCAGACATCAGTCGGATGATTAAAAGAAAATCTATTATTGATACAAATATCAAAACCAAATCACAGAAAATTTTGTAAGCAGACTTTTACGGCTGAAATTAAAAAATGACACTTTTCTCCTTATTCCCATGCTAAAAGAACCTTGTATATTATTCTGAAAAGGAAGAAAACATTAACACAGCTCAAATTCTGCTAAATATTTATGATAAGCACCATGTCAGAACCCTACAAAATTAAATAAAAACAGATGCAGCACCAGCAGGATTGAATTTACGGCATGCTCTTTAGCCAACAGTTACGGTGGAGAATGGGATTAATTCAAGAAGGGTTAAGCCCAAGATTTGTGGAGAAAGAAAGCTGTCAGCCTATCAATCTCAGCAAGATTTTTCAGTGAGTACTAGAATAAAGAGGCTGGAAGACAGGTTATGATAGAATGTAGGAAGAAGTTTCGACTGAAAATGAAAAGACTCAGGTCGGACACAAAGATTGAGGAGAAAATAGGACAACGAAGGAACATAAGAGAAACGTCAAGCTGAGATAAAATATTTGACAAAGAAAAATGCAACTAATAGCAGATGATTATCATATTACACTGCCATGACATGATAAATAACTTCGAGGGACACTTCCATATAAAACTTAAATGTTATTTTAATCTAAGTGGACAATATAATTCTAGGGTTACAAAGTGATTTTGACAACTCTGACCACATAATAGCTACTGTATAAAAAATAAAGAAGATATATACAATCGCTATACAACTTATTGGATCAAAGATATTGTAATTAATGACATTGTGAATCCGAGATATATATTTCCTGAGTCTATGATGATGCTATATAAAAAAAAAAAAAAAAAAATCATGCTAATACACAATTAAGTCAACTAAACACCATGTCCTCTATAACTATTGTAAAAGATATTTTCCAAAAAACAAGCATTTAGCTAAATATACCATATGCAAGCTAATATAGCTTCTTACTTACCGTTGCACTCAATTGCCGCCGGTTATCCTGCTTAACCATCTCCATTAATGCTGTTTCAAGTTCTTCAGCTCTGTAAAAGAAAGTAAGAAAAAAATTGGAATATCAGTACTTCATAAATTAAGACTCGTCATTTTCCCCAGAAGAAAAAGAAATGAAAAAAAAGGGAAAACTTTCTACCTAAAATGAACCCCTGGACATTTTAAGATTTATCTCTAGACCATGAACATGAAATTTTTATCTTGTCACGGAAGACTTTCAAACGAGAGAAAAGCATCACTAACAATCTGCCCAGAATTTCCAATTTTTTTAATAGGTAATCAAATATTTTATTAATCACAGAAGTGTATTATCAATTTATACAAACAAGAAACAACAAAAAATTGTACAACCCGTCTATACAAGTAGTAGCCACAGCATTAAACCAAGTATACAATATCAAATAAAACAATTATTTAATCTACTCTGCTGTCCATGTGATCATCAAAAGAGCGATTCTTTCTCTCCCTCCATACACACACAATACAATGCATCCTGAAATAAGATCCCAAATAAACTTACTATCCTTATTACAAAATTTTCTCCTCTATGCTTTCAATACATACTCCATACGCCGTGAAAACACTCAATCCATGTGTTAAGAAGTTAGAATATTTTTCCGAAAGGAATGGGCACTATCACAATGAAGGAACAAGTGATCAATCGTCTCCATATTCCTCCTACATATATAACACCACTATGTAACATAAAACCCCTTATTTGGAGGTTATCCACCGCTAACACTTGCTCCCTCACAACCGTCTATAGTAAAAATGTCATCCGATGGGGCAGTTTACCTTGTGATGGGGAAGGAGCTCTCCACGGGTCCCAATAAGGATTTAAAATAAGTGTCAACTGAGAAAATACCATCCCGTGCCAACCTCCACCTGCTACAATCACTCTCCTACCCTGATGTGCACCTCATACAAAGAGGTTAGAAGCAGCGCATAATCATCCAACTCCTAGTCCTACAAACCCTTCCCAAAAACAATGTTCCAATTGAGACTCCCATTATGTATATGTAAAACTTCATTCACCATGGCAAATGACATCAAAACGATACAATACAGAAAAGGAAACCCCTCTTAACTGCCGATTTTCACACCAACAATCTTCCCAAAATTTGATAGTATTGTCATTCCCCACCACAAACGTCAATCTATCCCGAAAGTCTCTCCACCCTCCTCGGATATACCTCCACTTATCTCCAAATCCACATCGCCTGAGCATATACAAAAGGAATCTCAAGTTCACATGATCATAGGCTTTCTGAATATCAAGCTTACATAATATCCTTGGAACTCCTATACGCAATCTTGAGTCAATACATTCATTTGCTGAAGTACGGAATCTAATATCTAGCGTCCTTTGACAAAAGCATTTTGAAATTTAGACAACACTTCCCCAACACCTTTTTTAATCTATTTACCAGTACGTTTGCAATAATCTTGTACACCTCATTTACTAAACTGATGGGACGAAAGTTTTTAATATCCGACGCTCCCAGTTTTTTTGGAATCAACACAATAAATGTAGCATTAGAACTTTCTCGAAGAGAAGTTCCTGCCACACTGAAAGGAATAAGTAGACATCCACACAATGTCCCATCGCACCACTTCCCAACAAACCTTATCAAATGAGAAAGAGAATCCGTCCAGTCCTTGGACCTTATCATCATTCATACTGAACATAACCTCCTAATCTCATCCTTCCCAAATGGTCTCTCTAACCAACTAGCATCTTCCTCAGTAATAGTAGAAAAATCTAACCCCTCCAACTCGGGTCTCCAATGAAACTGCCCCTAATAAAGATTTTGATAGAAACTCACCATTTGGGTCCCAATATCCTATGGATCCTTATAAGTAACTCCATCTACCTCCTACATAATAATAGAATTGTTACGCCTGTTGGAATTAGCGACCCGATGGAAAAAGAATAAACGGTAGGAAGAAGCGGCCTAATGTTAATATCATAAGTATCAAAGCGAAATGGCTATTACATGTAAGGAAAAAAAAATGTTTTTTTCTTGTTTTAGTAAGGAAATATGATAAAAGCAGGTATATGAAACAAAAGATGCACTACTTCCTAGATAAGTCTTAGTCATATAGTAATCCCTTGTTTGATCGCCATTTTTTACAAAATACATTTTTCTATATTTTTTTCAACCACATTCTTGAATAAAATATTATTATATGCAAACCCTAAAACTTTTCCTTATATTTAATCACACATTCTATATCAATCTACTATTCAAAAATGCACTCTTAGAATTTTAACGGGACTCAAACGAATGATAAGAGTTGAACGCAAGGACGGGACCGGGCTAGAGGACTCTCTATCGTCCCCATCGTCCTCCTCTTCCTTTACTTCCTTCTCCAACAAGCAAACCGTAAAAAGAGTCTTGTATAGGCTGGGTAAAAAAAGCCTCCAACCCGTCGCGCTTAATCACTAAGTTCAGTCTCAAGCTACTAGAGGGAGAATTCCGTCTATTGCTCCTTACCCTATTGGTTATAGAGACTCTTCCCAGTGCCTTTCACCCTCTTTCTAGTGACTCGGGAGCTGATCTGATAAATGCACTTCAAAGGGAGGGAATTTACATTACCATGTTGGTATGACCGAGCATAAAAGATTTTGAGACAAATAGTTGAGTTGATGAAAATAAGCCTAATATCACTTTAGTTCACTTGCAGGGAAAAGAAATTGAAAAATCAAGAGGGCAATACAAGTTATGAGAGATCATACGAGTATACTCGGAATTTGGTATTGTTTGGCAGAAGTCTTTGGAGGTTGAAATGCATGATTAGATTAAACAGCATCGATGGATTGAGAATGATTAACCCAAAAGCTGAATATACGATATATGGAGTCTATAAAATAATTATTTATACTCGTGTTCCATTAACTTGTTTACTTTTTATGACTGAAATATTTACTCTGAGCAAACATTGAACTACATACATCAAGCTGAGTATAATTGTCTTGGATATAATTAAATTTATATTTTACTTGATACGAGAAAGAATAGAGATTTAAGTTTGAAATTGTTTGGTAAGTGAAGATATTACACTTATCTTGACCATCAAAAGTAGCCTTTGAGAGTATTATTATGAGTTTAATACTTGATTATGCTTGTTTATTGATTGTCTTAGGAGAAACCCTGGTATTGGACGAGAATTGATGAAAATAAGCAACAATTGATCAAAAGGAATAAAGTTGGACATATTCTAGAAGTTGTGGACCAAAGAATCAAATTTGGAAAAGTTAAAAGGACCTCAATTATAATATTTAAGGACTCAATCTGAAAATAAAAAAGAAATATGGACCAAATTGCACATGTAAAAGATAACTTCAAGCAATTCAGGAAATCCTAATTTGACCACAACTATGGTTCCATATCCTACTGGAACTTCATTTTAGACTTAAATTAAGGTGTACAAAATGGATTTTCTTTTAAATAAAATGGGAGACTAGAGATACATTCTTAATGCTAAAGACACATCCTTAAATATAAATTCAGATTTGCACCTAAGTTTGGGAGTGACCTGCCCCAGCTCATAACTCATCTGGAGAACGAATTGGGCCCCTGTGTTGCTAATCTACTAGTTAATTCAAAACCTGGGTGTTTTAACCCCATTTAACTAGCGTTGAAATCGATTGGGAATTTGAAATGATGACACATCACAAACCACTTTAACTCAAGAAGCTCTGCTTTGCTGCAGATCCACTCCAATTTCATTTTAAACCTCCCTTTGACCCATTCTCTTTGATTCTGATTATGGGGCATTCAATGCCACTTGATGTAGACCAAAAAGAAAGAGGCTTTCCTGTGGAATGGGAAAGTAGCCACCTCTTCATTCTCCTTTAGCTGATTCAGATATTGAATCGTCTCTCTTAGAGAGAGGTGCACAAGCTCTCCCTTTGACTCAATGGTGAAGATTGAAAAACACAATTGGCATGGAGATATACAATCAATCAAGGAAAATTTGAAGATCTTTTTAGGGAATTGGGTACCAAAGAACAACAATAACTTTAATTAATTCTTTAATCATTGTACTGAACTCAGCGATTTTTTTCATCCCTTTGTTATTTAGTTCCACTATTAGAATTGGTTAAATTCCTTGTTAGGATGAACAAAGTAACTTATATTAATATTTGTTTAATTCAATGGATTTCATGCCAATTTAATTATGTATTAATTACTTATTGTTTGCTAAATTGACATCAAATTGCTTGATCACCGATCACCGATTGCATGATTTAAGGATATTATTGTTTCACCATTAGAAGAGACATATTTATTTAGTTCATACAATAAGTAACATAAGTTTTCATAAGAGATCTAGAGATACTTTTATAGCTTATGCAACGATAATTGAATTATTAAAATTGAATACTTTTATATGTAAATGAATTTACATACACATATAGTAAATACGTACATGTAATTAGAGTTAGTTTTGTTCAAGAGAGAATATTAACTAAAAATTAATTAATTTGATTGTTATACACTGGGAAGCACCGACACACTGGTGTCGACGTATCAGTGTTCGATAGTAACACCAGTACGTCTCCTACGTCGATGATGCATGTCGAAGGTCCTTTGCGGCATGTCGGAGAAGAAATGAAGTCGATGGTTAAGGAAGAATAGTTTCATTGAAAATAGCAAGAAAAATCAATGGATGCCGCGCTGATGAAGAAGAAAATGCAAAGACGGGTGAGGAGGAAGAAATGCAGAGATAGCTGAGGAAGAAGAAATGAAGAAGAGGTGTGTTTTTATAGATTTTGAAAATGAAGGGGCATTTGTATAGGTTTTGAAAATGAAGAGAAGTGCGAAGAGAATAAACTTCATTATTGAAAACCACTTTTCAATTTGAATATGTTAGGTTGGGCCCCAAAACATTAAATGGTCTGCAAATTATACTTTTCTTATATTTATCTGATAGGCTTTCTTTTCCAGTTCTGCCTGTAACAAACCAAAAAGTATATTTTTATGTGGATCATTTTTTTTACTTTAGAATATTATATGATGCAAATTATTAAAAAAAAAAAAAAATTATTATTACTGTAGATTATTAAATTAAAAAACTAAAAAAATAATAATTCAATCAATGTGTTGACAACATATCATGTCAGAATATTTTCAAAAAATCACGTGTCGAACATTCGTGTCCGTATCCGTATCCATGTCAGTGCTTCTTAGGTTATACACATGAAAAAAGGACAGAATGAAATTGGATTAAACAAATTTTTAAGTGAAATCAGAATTCCTAACCACTAAATTTCCCCGGTCTTCCACAACCTCGTTAAATTAGATTAAATTAGAATAATTTAGTTAGAAACATAACACTTGAATTTGATAATTGGTTACTAAATAAATTTAGATTGAAGCTAGATCAGGATAAAATTAGTAAATACTTAGTCTGTGTGGATATAATATTTGGACTCAAAATCCATTTTATTACTTGTCACGATCCATACACTTGTGAAATCAATCGATTAGAATCAAGGGGCGATGAGGGCCTTATTAATTGAGTAAGATGATGAGAATGTGGATAGGCCTGTTGGGGTTCCTTTCCCCACTATGGAATCGGGAATGGAACAAAAATTGCAGAACTTCTCAAGGAAAAAAACACTGTAAACATGACCTAGAAACATTCTAAAGTCCAGTCGAGGCATGGCTACCCCCCTTCCTCTGCATTGAGTCGTAACTGCCTATTTCGATAGGGACAGAAAGTGCGGAGTAGGAGATCAGTTCGATGTTTTAAGAATGATAAAACTAAGTTTTGTTTTATAATCAACACAAAAGAAATGTCAAGTTTGAAAAATTGAACGGCGTGTTCAATCATCCAGAGCAGAGAAACAATAATCAACAGAAGAAACAATAGAACAAAATCTTATTACTAATAAATCTGGGATCAGCTATTATTTTTTTGCCGCTCTGTTTGACCAAAAAAAAATGAAAAGAAAAAAGATGGAGATTCATTTGGTGACGAGTTAGTTTCTCTACCAAGAACACCTAACTATGATTGAAATGAGCTATTTTTCACATAATGGTTTCAACCAAATATTATTGTACTCACCTGAGCTCAGCTGATCGTTTTTCCTCCAGTAACTTGCACAACTCAACCTTCAGCCACACCACCTGAACAAAGTTGATAAATGCACCAGTTAAGTTTTGTTGAGGCCAAGAAGAACAATCATGTTGACACTCCTTGACCAGCTCAAATCAATACAGAATACTTGAGACAATCTATGGACCACGTACACTTTTTGCTTAACTTCTTTGGTCAGTGAGAGAGAGAGAGACGAGGTGTTTCTTAACTTCTTTGGTCAGTGAGAGAGAGAGAGAGACGAGGTGTTTGGGGGAGGGAGGGGGGGGGGGGGCAAAGAATCAATAACAAAGTGACATAAAGCACCAGAATTTGAGCATCAAATAAATGATAGTACATGAAAAGAGAGTATAAGTCAGCAGATGGAGATTACAAGCGTGCATGAAAAGATCATACAATAAGCTACCTGCTCTTGAAGATCTTTAGAAGAATCTATCTCCACATCCCCATTCAAGCTCATATCTAGGTAGGCTGTGTCACCATTTGTCTTAGCAGCCAATTCTTCTGTTTTATCAGTTCCTACCATAATGGAATCAGGATCATGTTTGTAACTATAAAGCCTTGAAGCTAGACCCTTCGTGTCCTTCCAAACTCGTACTCCCTTCAATCTTTCTTCAAGTGCAGCTCTGACAGCTGGTCGTTGTTTATTTCTGAGTTCTTGTAATTGTGTTTCATGAACATTTTGGTAACCCATGCAAGCAGTCAAGACAAGTTGACTGCTATCAAATGTCGAGCCAGCTAGTGATTGCAGCAGCGTGACTGCATCTCCAGCATCCTTGGTTGTAACCAATGCAGGTCCTGCACAAGACTAAATATAATTATGCTTTATCCCCTGTATAACACAATCACAGACGTAATATGTATCTAAACCACTTGCAGATGATGGACTTGTTGAAGTTTACGAATTCGTAAACCAAAGATATTGCTAACCCAGTACCATATGACTCCATTAAAGCAAGTGCTGTACGGAATAGCATAACACGATTCCCTTCATAGAGAAGCACATCCCAGACTCTAAGAACTGGAAGCAAATAAAAACTCATCAGGTTCCAGAGTTACGTAAAAAGACAACATCAACACTAATAAGGAGAATCAGAATACAGAGGCTCCTAAAAGGATCAACTCTGATCAAGCATTAGAAGATAATAATAAAATTTTGGTCAATATCTTGCATGATTGAGATAAGAACCTGACCACTTTCCCAAGGAAGCATATTCACAAATACCGAGAGGAACCACGGCCCGGTCACCCATGCCACCTGTACTCCCAGGTAATCCAGATGGTTTACTGCAGCAAACGTATATTTAATGAGAAGCAAAAATACATGATTGACATAAATCATTTCTGGGAAAGCTAATGGTAACTAATAGAGAGAGAGAGAGAGAGAGATAGAAACCCAATTTTGGAAATTTTTCACGCACCAACTCCTCAAGAACAAGTTGATCAACCTAACAAGAAATAATTTGACCACAAAAAAATTAATAAAATCTTATGTGCTGCTTTGACAGGATATTTAGTTCAAGAGGAAACTCATATTCAAAATGAATCTACTGAAAGAGCTGCCAAGCAAAAGACAATGTGCAACAATTACCTGAGATTCTAACATTTCTTCTGAATAGTAGCCATCAAAATAGTCATCTATAATGCCCGTTAAAGTCCTGGAAGGAAAACATAAGCAAAAGAAAGAAATTTTGGATTCAGTCAAGCCCAACACATTAACAGAATGCACAACTCTAAGGATGTCGCAGACAGAAAGTGAGAAAGTATGTTCTGCTCTTATAACTTTATAAAATTGTACGCATGACTATTAGGAATTTTCGTCAACAGATAGAAAGTGACACAAAAAATGATTATTTTTAACCAAGATAAACACCTACCAAAATGCATTTTCCTCTGGCATCAGAAGCAGTAATAAGCCAGCAAAGAAATTCATAGCCTGCAGAAAAATTATAAAAAAGCATCAGTAATGCACTAGACACTGATTTTATATAAAGCATGATAAGATAATTGGAAACAGGCAAGCCCAGAGATGTAGATTGAAAATTATTGCTGCAGTAGAAAATAAATAGCTTGCCATTAGATATTTCCAATCTAAGAGTAGTGCAGGGTAACAATTTATATAATCAAGCTCCTTCCTTCAATACCAGGACTCTTTGGTATGGGTGACAGATAAAATAGACACACTGGTACCGCATGGATAAAAGAGAGTGATATTGATGGTGTTGATCCAGTGATTTTAAATCAGAAATGCAATATATCAGCTAACAGCACTTCTCAAAATACATACGTTCCAGAAAAACAATTTACTTGGTAAAAGCAGGGACAGAACAAAGATAATTGTGCGCACAATTTTTCATTTTCGAACAAGTGTTTGAAGATCATCTAACCCTTTTCACTCAATGATCAAACCATGGGGCATCTAGAGATAACAATTATCTTAAGTTTGGGAATGGTTTTAGTAAATTAATGAAAACAAATGAGAACAGCAATACTGAAGGGAATCCTTTATTTTCTTAAGTGCAATAATCTATTAATCTAGAATACCTGGCAGTAGCCAACGGAGGGATTATGCCTAGCATAAGCTGTAAGTAAACGCCTCAAAGCATTTCTTCCATCCTCATCCAAAGCAGGATGGCCAGGAAATGTACGAGGCAAATCCTGCATATATAGAAATAATGTTAGGCTTCTGGAGGCATTGAACTAAAATAAACAAAATAACTTTGGATAATGAAGTGAAAACACAAATTCAAAAACAGAAATTCATAAATAAACCTTCTCAATCTGTCCTTTCCATTTCTCAGTTACATCTGAATTTGACTTGTGACCGTTGTCATCCAATTCCGTTGATCTACTTTCCAAGTTGTTACCAGAAACTGCATCTGGAGCAAGCAATTCTTGGTAATATTTTTCCACCCGGCGTATTCTCACACCCACAAAAGCTTGCCAAAGCTGTAAATCCAAGATAAAAAGAGTAAACAACGATTATGCAAGCAAAAATGAAGAAAAGAAAACAAAAGAATGTTCAATCTACACCTCTCCCCTTAAAGCCATTGGGACTCCCCCATGAACAAGGCATTCCAATTCTTCCTTCCAAGGAGGCTGAAAATCTGGATTAGCTGAATCACCAGCAGCACCCATGGCTGGGACACTGATACTGTCAGTTGAAGAGATGTCTAGATTGGGATCTGATTCTGACCTCTCCAAATCATAAAATTCTTCATCGGAGTCCTCTTCAGGTGCTCCTTTGCTGGGTCTAGTTTCATCAATTGTAGGAAGATGTTTTCCAGTTCCAGAGTCCACCTCATTTTTTATCGAGTTAACCTTCTTTTTCACACGAGCACTCATTATATCCTCTATAACACGAAGAGATGGTCTGATCTCCATCCATAATTGAACTCGATGAACTTTTATCTCTGGTCCAGATTGCACCTCTTTCTTTTCTTCAGATGAACTGTCAGAATTAGGCTTCTTACAAGTAGAATCATCAGCTTCATCATTGTTCTCAACACTAGAATCAGCTTTGAACTTGGTTGATTCAATATTCAACTTTAAATTATTTTCAGGTAACTTGTCCACGTGCAACTGAGCAGACTCAGCTTGCCTTTCCAAAAAGTCATTCCACCTATCTGACCTCTCCTCCTCTTCCTCCTAAAGCCATCATAAAAGTGCAATATTTATACTGATTAATGAGTATACTCAACAGTGGAAGTGGAAGTGGAAATAAGCAGTGTCGGCTAATTTTATTTTATTTTAGCATCCAAGGAGAAGGTTCAAAGAGAAAAGAAACCTTGTAGATATTAGCATATTCACGGTATCTTTGCAAGTGCTGAGGTCTCACTGCAAACCCATATGCATCCCTGTTAAAGAAAATGTTGAGATATTTAGAGATTCTAAGATTTTTTTTCCAGTGACTACATATGAAGATGTTCATTGAGACCATAATTATAAAAAATAAAAATAAATAAATAAAAAATAAATAAATAAACCTTATTGAAAAGAAAATCAACATGGCAGCAATACTATGCATATATTCATGTATTTCTAGGATGCAAAAAAAAGTTCACATAAAATTTATGGTTTTTATACACCTATCATCAGCCTCTAAAGATTCTGAACTCAGATTACTCATCAACATATTTCACAATGAAACGGAAATTTTGCTATCCGCATTAGCATTACATCCAGCATTGACTAAATTACTCCACCTCATCTCAAATTTCACGGTTAGGCCTCAAAGCTTTAATTCATAAAAGTTGAAAAAGTGGTAAGAATCCCAAGTACAAAACATTACTAGTAAACGTCGTTGCCAAAAGAATCAATAAGTTTGATCCACAAAAAACTTTGTTCTTTTAAGGTCCATTAAACAAAAGAAAAAGAAGGGATTATAAGTCAAATCAATACTATACTATGATTGAGTTATTTTTTTAAATTGAAGAAAATAAAGCACTAAAAACACTCTTTAGGAATATTCAATTTAATCAATATTAAAGAATCATCCTCATAAATAAACACAAAAGGCAAAATTCCAAGAATCCCTTTCA